AATAAAAAGTAACGGTCCTAAAATGTAACCCTGCGGAATCCCATACTTAAGTGTCATGTGGTCGGAACAAATACCATTGATTTGAAATATATTGTTCGCGATTTTGCAGAAAGCTACTTATTGAATCTAGGGCCTTTCCCCTAATGCCATAGTAAGGCAATTTGTGCAATAAGATGTCGTGATTGATGCTATCGAACGATTTTCGGAAATCCAAGTATACTCCAAGTGTAGGCAACTTGTTTTCAAAATTATTTAGAATCTTATCTTTGATGTGCAATAGTGCATGGTCAGTTGATTTGCCTTTTTGAAACCCGTACTGTGCTGGCGAGAGTGCCGAAAAAGATGTTAGAAAATTTCTTATTCTGTTATTTATCAGATTTTCAAAACCTTGGATAGAATTGGGAGTATAGAAATGGGACGATAGTTACTGATGTTATCTTTGTCGCCACGTTTATGTATTACAGTACCGATCACAGTTTTTAACGGACTTGGGAAAGTACCACTTTCAATGATGTCCGAGTGTTATCACGATATTGTGTTGCTGTAAGTTTCTGCATGCGCGGATTCCTTTTTTTTTTTTTACTTTTTGTATTTGCCGCTGGATTTTGCCGTCCTTACCGGCCGCTGGCACCTCGTCAGGCAACCTGTTTGCCTTTTGTGCCAGCGGACCGTTCAAGTCGAATTTGTATTTGACTTGAAAAAAATAAAATGATTGATTGATTGATAGATTGAAGAATGAAGTTTGGCATCCGAGCGCAGCAGAAAACATCATCTACATACATGGTTCCAGATGAAGTGCTCCAGAAAATGACTGCAAACTATCTTCTGGGGCCCGCAGCATCTACTAGAACTTTGCTGCTGTGTTTGATATTAGTTTGAAGCGTTTAAAGCGCTTCACCCTCACGCTTGTGAACTTTTGAACATTTATGCAATTTACGTCCGAGTACGGCCGGCATGTGTGTGCAGTAAACTCAAGATTGCTAGTTATTAAGCTTTAATATTGGGTTCGTTATTTCTTTTTTGTTTGTAATACCTCTATACTGTATATATTTGGTGTGGCAACTTTTTAGCGAAATACCGAGTAAAATGGCCACTTTTGGCTACTTTCTGCTCGTGATTTGGCTACATTGACTCCAAACCCAGTGGCAACCCTGCCGGTAAAGACTTCATGTAAACAAGCGACCGCGCTTCCTGAGAGAGATGCGATGCCAACGATTGCTGCGTTCCGCTCCGGATGCAGCGATAAACCTTTGATTCGTGCGTGACGTGAACGCAAACCTAAACAGGGTTAACCTTTTTTCCCCTATTTTTATTTGTGACTTGACACGCAGCTTCTGATAAAAACAATAGGGGACAACGCGAAGAAATATGCGGACGTTATCGCGCGGCGTGAAGCCATTTACAACTATTGAACTGGGCCTTAATCTTTTCACGGGGTTGTACCAAATTTGTTTATGACAATCTTTTTTCTTTTATGTGCGTTGTAGTGTCGACCTGGGCCTTTTTCTTGATGCGCAAGCAGCTCAATGCATGCGGGTGAGACTAAGGCTGTTAAGCGAGGCAAAAGCGATGGCCGTTTTAATAATCTATGCCACCATCCATTAGTGAAGATGCGTATGGTAAACAGTGGTATGGTAAGGTTCATCGCAGTGGCTAAAACTTCGATGTCAGCGGCGGCAAAAACTTACGTTGCGGACGTCGAATGAAGCAACATGGGCGGTGCCAACTTAATTTTACAACCTCCTTTTCTTTCTTTCTTTTTTTTTTCTTTTTGTCGCAGCCGAGGTAGAAATTTTGTTTTGTGAAAAGAAGCTCGGGAGTAGTTTCGAGAAAGTTATTGCAGTTATTGTGTCAGGGTTAAACAAATCTTCATTAATAGCGCAACATCCGTCAACTGTGTCAACTGTGTCAATGCTATCTGAAACCAATTTTAGTCCTTTGCAACGCTTGAAAAAAATATTGTCCAGGACACAGTATACTTTAGAAGAACACAAAGCGATGCACCAAAAAACCTCCCGCCAGTAAAAAGAAAAAAAAAAGAACTAATTTTGAGTTATGTGTTCGCGTGGAGCAGTATACCGCTAAACAGTACAACTTCCAGCGTATTCGCATCGAATAAAGAATTAAAAGTGTTCTCAAAGAAGAAAAGCATGACGGTCTAGTCCTTTCGGAGGCCTGTGCATACGCTGGTGACAACAAGCTTCCACAGCGAAGGCGTAGGACTTGGCCCGCTGCTTCGACGAGGTTGTTGCCAGCGTGCACAGGCCTCCGAGAGTTTTGTCAAAAAAGAATGCGCTAGGCTGTTTAAACTGTTCGTCTACATAATATGGCCAGAAGGTGGAAAACAGTTGCTGCGCCATCGCACATTGCCCGTACGGCGGCCTCCGATGCACTGTTGCTGGGTCTACTGATTTATCAGTAGATCTACTGATCTTGTTCCGGGTCTACTGATTCACTAATCAAAAAAAAAAAAAATCTACTGACTTTTTTTTTAAAGCAAACATATTAAAATTTATTATTTAGCTCCTTCAGTTCCCAGGGTCGCCCATCAAAGCAAACTCATATTCTCCCAGAATCAAAAAATCGAAGCACGGGCTAGATAACCCAGAAGCCCGTCGACGGTGACATCTGGGCCAGAGCCATATATGGGTAGAGTTTGGCCAGTCTATGATCTCGCCGCCGTAACGTCCCTCTCCCGAGTGAGCCAATCAGCCCGTGGCGCAGAGCGAGAGGCGTGAGCGCATGCGCCTGAACCCTCGGCTGCTTCGAGATGAGCGGAGGGGGCCGACATTTTCATTCATTCACCCGGCGGAATGCGTGGGATCGACATCCAAATTTCAGTTCTTTACTTTTATTTGACAGGCTCTGGCAAGAAAATGATATAATGTTATTCCTCAGTGGCTTAGAAAGCTAACGCGCCGACAGCGTTGCGTCAAAAACCTTCCACAGCCCAGTAAGGAAAGATGTGAGCTTGCAGAGGACTTTCATTGGACATGTACGCGCGCACTTGCCGGAACGTCTTGTTTCGGCTTCGTTTCAATTATAGCGACAGGTGGATGTCGCACTCATCTGTTGACCCCAAAAGTGGCTCAGTCTCGATTTCAAAAAAATCCTTGAAATCGCAACACAATAAATGCTTATAAAATAAAAATAAAAAATTAAAAAAAACAAAAAACATTTACGGTGTCATCTAACTTTGTTTTTTATAAAACAGGCAAACTTTAGTTGGGCTTACGTGAATTACTCGAGAACTGGGCATGTTTTTTTTTCATTTTTATTTCTGTATATTACCATGGTATTTGTTACTCTATACCAGGGGTGGCCAGGCTGACCTGTCCTATGAGCCGCAAACAAAACCACGAAACTTCCAAGGGCCGCCAGGGGGGGGGGGGGGGGGGGGGGGGGCAAGGCAAAACTTTTGTCACGAGCAATAAACGAAACTCGAACTACTTTCAATTTATCCGAGTCGAAAGCAGTTCAACTCTGTGTAAGGTAGCTGTATCACAAGACTACCAAACCGCAACCTGTCTTTCGATTCAAAACGCGTTCCATTTTTGCTTTTTGCTAAAGTGTTCATGTGACCGGGAGGGAGGCGGGGGAGGGGAGGTGGGGACGAAACCACGAGCCTCACTTTAACAAGCGAGGAGCCGCATGCGGCTCGCGAGCCGCAGCTTGGCCGCCCCTGCTCTATACTATTTCTTCAGAGTGTGGTTTAATGAAAATAGCAAAGCATGGAAAAACACAGATTTCTTAGAATCTACTGGTTTTTGTGCAAATCTACTGACTTTTTGGGGACCAATCTGCTAAATCTTTTTTATCCGTCTGGCAACACTGCTCTAATGCCTCCACCGTGCTTCGGTACTACTGATCTCTATGACAATTGCTGGATCGCGTTTGCCCGCACCGCGAATGCGGCCACTGACGGCCATCTTTTTGGTGGAGTTATATTACCTCTAGCCAAGGTACAGCTGCTGCAGCCACTATCATCCATACATGGCAGACAGCGTTGTGGCAGTTGTGGTGGCAGGCTGCCATCAAAATAGCGTGGGTGATATTTCGTGCTTGATTGAAATTGTTTGACGAAACATATTTTTGAAACCCGGTGTGAACGGTAGCCCGATCTTTGAGGACCCGGTGAAAGTTTCACGAAGTCGCAGCACCGGGGAAAAGCAGCACAGCACGCATCGAAAGTCGCATCGAAAGAAGCATCGAAAGCAGACGCCGGTACGGAGTCTGCTCTCGATGCGAGCTGCGCTGCTTTCCCCCGGTGCTGCGCTTTCGCAGAACTTTTGCCGGGTCCTCAAAGATGAGGCTACCGTTCACGCCGGGTTTCAAGAATTTGCTTCGTCGAATAACTTCAATCAAGCACGAAATATCACCCACGGTAGAGTGTACTAGATCCACGGCTATTTTATAGCAGCCTGCCGCCATTGCGCTGTCCGCCATATTACTATGATAGCTAGAGATAATATAACTCTACCAAAAAGATGGCCGACCGTCGTCGCATTCCCGTCCATAGGCGGAGCTGGTCAAACGCGATCCAGCAAATAGACATAGAGATCAGTGTTCGGTATCGACAACGCTGGCCAACATTAAAATGGCGACGCTCTCGGTGTGGTCAGACGACAAAGCAATTTCGCATAAGGCCTATTGTGCAGCAAAAACTTTCGCAGCCTGGCGGTGAAAATATGAAACAGAGGAACGGGGAGAGGAATGGGGATAAAATGTACACGGTTGAGTCTTGAGTACTGCAAACAATTTTATTTCGCAAATTTAAAAACAAATTTATTCGCGAATTGTGCGAGGTGTACGTTTAAGCTTTACATCGAAAGCAGTGCATTCTACCCTACCGAAAAACCCAGCATAACGTTTCAATATCATAATTATGCAACTGGAAATCTAACGGAATTGTTTCTGGAAACTTGAAAGCCAGATTGCAGACAAAGGAATAATTTCCGAAAACCTGAAATCCAGATAGAATCCAGAAAGAATTCATGTTCCATATTCCAGGTAGCAAAAATTTATACTGTTTTTTTTTTGGTAGGGTACACAAGTCGACGGGGCCAATCAATTCGCTTCAAAAGCGCAGCATCATGAAGTTTGTATTTTGTTTTTATTTGCACGGAAAATATCGGGCGCATGTTATTGTCAGCTAAGCGAATCCAGCGCATTGTACGTGTCATGACATTGATATATTTGTTCTGTAGGTCTATGCCTTCTGGTTTTTGACTGTGCCCTGTGTGAAACCGTGCAGGGTATACATAGTGTTTCCCCGAATAAAAGAAATCGTTGCTTAACAGCACTGAAATATATAAACACGGAAGTCGTTACGTTGACGAACTTGTAGATATATTTTTGTTTTTGTTTTATTACGGGTGCCGCTGTGATCGCATATTATAACGTGGCGTCACTGACGGAGAATGTGCATTCGTGCTTCACGTAAGTAAGTCGCAGGATTAGACGACAATTAAACAACAGTCCAGAAACGAGCATGGACGAGTCCTGCCAGATGTTAAAAGCATATGCAATGTCTAAAGATGCTACATAGTTTAGTTGGTAATACGCATAGAGCTGGTATTACCTAGAGTGACTGAGGTGGCTGCTCTACGCCGGACTAACAGCGTTTAAACGCATTCCTCAGAAGGCAACTCGTCGTATGGCGCGTGAGATAGGTATTGGCATCGTCCATACTCAATTTTGAATGGTCATTAGACTTACACCGACGATTTACTTTCGTGATACTACAGTACACTGCCCTTTCAGCTTCGAGGGAGCATGTTAAAACAAGAAATACTATTAAAAACTTGATCGTTCGGTTTACACGATGCTTCAGCTTTCATGTTTCTATCTGTCATAGTTTTAAGATATGTAACAGTAAGAAAGCACAAAACAAACAAAGGGACAAAAACAGACATGTACAAGTCTGTTTTTGTACATGTCTCTTTTTGTCCCTCTTTTTGTCCCTCTGTTTGTTTTGTGTTTTCTTACTGTTGCATCTGTCCCAACACGCTCGTCGAAGTCTTTTAAGATATCTTTTGTTTAATTCAGGGAATGCCTTTATGCTCATCTTTTGTTGTTACTGTTGTATCGCGTCGGCAACCTTGCCAATTCATGTATGTTTTGTTTTGTTGCTGAAACGCTGACGTCATGATGCCAATAAAAAATTGCGCTGCTTGAGTCGAGCAGGCAGAAAATCACGGAATACGACTACTGCGTGTTTGCTACCGGCTGGCTCGGGTCGCTTGCTCGGCCACCTTCCTTTGGCCGATACTACAGAGTGGCGACGAGGAAAAGCAATGAGTTTCGCGGGACTTGCGCCGCCTCCGACGTTCCTACAAACGCCCGGGCAGCCACCTATTCCATGGAATCAGTGGAAGAGCCTCTTTTTCACCTACTTGGAGGCCGCGGGTGCAAGTGACCTCGCTCCGCAGAGACGTAAAGCCATTCTGCTGCATTCGCTCGGCGTGGAAGGGCAACGCCAGTTCAGCAACGCCCCTGCTCTTTCAACTACGCCTGGACTGCCTGTACAACAGACTGCGGTCGCCGCTTCTGGAGACAGCAGCAAGGAGACGCCCACCGGAGGGAAATTGCCGCCCGCGGACGATGCGTTTCAAGTCGCGCTGGCTACATGTGACCGCCTGTTCTCAACGGCGACGAACGTCCTCGTCGAGCGTCACCGGTTCAAGAAACGACTGCAGAACCCGGGTGAGTCTACTGAAGCCTACATTTCCTGCTTACGAGAACTTGCAAGAACGTGCGAGTGGGATGGTTCCCCTGAAGTTGCGGTTTGAGACCAGCTCGTTTCAGGAGCAGCGTCAGACAAGCTACGTGAATGGTTGTTGTTCGAAGGCGCAGGACTGACCTTGGAAAGGGCAATTGCGATAGCGAGTCACTACGAAGAAACGTTGAAAAGTTTGCAAGAATTTTCAGCTTCGGAGGGAGTGAAGCAGATACGGAAATCGAGCATGAACGCGGCGCGAACACGGGACTCAGCTGCGTCACGCTCTGCCCCGGCGCGGGACGCGAAGGAGCGCCGATGCTATCGCTGCGGGTCTGCTCAGCATATGGCCAATTCTACGATTTGCAAGGCCAGAGATAAACGCTGCTCGAAGTGAAAAAAAGTAGGCCATTTCCAAGCGGTGTGCCGAAGTACGAAAGACGAACAGAGCGTGAAGCAAGTTCGAGATCAGGGAGAGGCGCGCACGACGCTCCTACACGTAGCGACGAGCGACGCGCGCCGCGGCATTTACGTCAAAGTTCAAGTCGAAGGCGTGGAAGTTCAGTTTTAGTAGATACAGGGTCGTCGGTATCTATTATCACGGAAGATATCTACATGATGCACTACCAAAAGACCATGCCGTTGACCGCGCCGTCTGTAACCCTACTCGACTACTCTAGCAGCGAGATTTCAGTGAAGGGTTGTTTCCTCGCGAATGTCCTGTATCAGCAGAGGTCCACATGCGTGTTTTTCTACTTTGTTCGACAAGGGACCGCAGTGCTCGGACTGGACACAATTCGGAACCTGGACTTGTGCATTCACGGGTCTACCCTATAATGCCTGCAGACGTCTGTACATCCAAGTACCACTTTCGCGCGTCTGCCGATGGAATTCCGTGCAGAATTCGGTCATCTGTTTGCGGATGAAGTTGGACTCATAAAAGGGTTTTGCTCACCATGTCAAGCGCAAGCCTGGCGTGCCTCCCGTTGCAGGGAAATTGCGCCGACTTCCGTTAGCTCTTCGAGAGCAAGTGTAGGCAGAACTACGGCGTCTCGAGCAATGCGGCATCATTGAAAGCGTGGACGCTTCCGAATGGATTTCACCAATTGTTGTCGTTCGCAAGCAAGACGGCCGCATCCGCCTGTGTGTGGACTTACGTGAAGCCAACAAAGCCATCATTGTCGATGGCTTCCCTCTACCTCACATGGAGGAACTCCTGCACCAGCTGGCTGGTGCAACCCACTTTTCAAAAATCGACTTAGCGTCGGCCTATCACCAGTTGGAGTTGACACCGGAGAGCCGGGACCTCACGACCTTTGTTACTCATGAGGGTCTCTTTCGCTTTCGGCGGGTGTGTTTTGGCCTCGCATCTGCTCCTGCTACGTTCCAGAAGATGATGACAGCGCTACTAAAGGGATGCAAGGGAGTACTTTGCTACATCGATGATGTCATCGTCTACGGGAAGTCAGAGGCAGAGCACACCTCGAATCTTCGAGAGGTCCTCAGCCGCATCGCTGCTGCAGGACTACGCCTTAACAACAAGTGCGTCTTCAATGTCCTGGAGCTTACGTTGCTGGGACATGTCGTCAGTCACAGGGGACTGGCACCTCTACAGTCGAAGGTCAACGCCATCGTCAATGCACCGCGGCCTAACGATGTCGCCGAGTTACGGTCATTCCTCGGACTCGTTGGCTATTATGCCAAATTCCTGCCCCACTATGCGGACATTGTGGAGCCTCTGCGCAAGGTACTGCGGCAGGGTGTCCGTTTTTCTTGGGATGCAGAGGCGGCGCAGAGCTTTCGTCAGGTGAAGCTACTTCTCTCTACCTGCAGAGCCATACATATGTTCGACTCCTCACTTCCCGTGGTAGTGACCACAGATGCCTCCGAGCACGGACTGGGAGCCGTGTTGCAACAGAAATTTCAAGGCGAACTCCGCACCGTTGCCTTCGCATCCCGAGCACTAACTCAAGCCGAACGTAATTATTCGGTTGGGGAGAAGGAAGCGCTGGCGTGCGTCTGGGCATGCGAGTACTGGCACGTTTTCCTGTGGGGACGGAAATTTGAGCTTCGTACAGATCACCAGGCCCTGGTCACCCTACCGTCGTCAAGAGGAGCAGGTCGCCGGTCGACACGGATTGCAAGATGGTCAGCTCGCCTGCTTCATTACAACTTCGACGTGCTGTACCATCGGGGGAGTGACAACAAGGTAGCGGACGCACTTTCGCGACTACCTTTACCGGGATGTCAAGAACAGGAAGAAGAGATTGTGTCTCTGGTATCCTCTTGCGTGACGAAGCAGCAACTACAGGAAGCGGTCAAGTCAGACTCCGCGATTCAACTGGTAATGTCCTTCGTCAAAACACAGTGGCCTTCGAAACGCAACCTCAGCTCTGAGCTTCTGCCCTTCTGCCATGTCCGGGAGGAACTCGCGGTCATGGATGATCTCCTACTGCGGGACGAGCGCTTGGTAATTCCGGTCTCGCTGACCTCCACGCTACTGGACGCTGCGCATGAAGGCCATCCCGGCATTGTTCGTACCAAACAGAGACTTTGTAACCAGTATTGGTGGCCGGGACTTGATAAGCAAGTGGAGCAAGCAATCAACTGTTGCAGTATTTGCCAGTCAGCCGACAAATCCGCCAAACCTGCAGTGGCACCCCTGCAGCCGATTCCATGGCCTGAACGTGCTTGGCAAAAGCTGGCGTTGGATATCGTCGGGCCCTTCGGAAGGGCCAGGGAGAGTTGCAAGTTTGCAATAACATTAATAGACTTTTACTCAAAGTGGCCAGAGGTGTGTTTTGTCTCGACCGTGACATCGGAAACGGTGATGAACTTCCTGACATCGGTCTTCAGCCGTGAAGGATATCCCGACGAACTTGTGACCGACCATGGACCACAACTGACGTCTACTACGTTCGAAGATTTTCTTCGACAGCGAGGGATTAAGCACTCCTGTTCCTCCATTTACTACCCCCAGAGTAACGGGCAAATAGAGCGCTTCAATAGGGTGCTGAAGGACTTCGTTCAGCTTGCATCATTGGAGCAACGTCCCCTAGAAACGGCAGTACTGGAGTACCTTGCTGTTTATCGGAGTACCCCCCAGGCAACGACAGGTGTGCCACCGGCGGTACTGCTGCACGGTCGTGCCCCACGGACCATGCTGGACATCGTTGGGTGACCTAGTCCAAGATTCTTTGGTGACCCCAGTTCAGAGATGGCCAAACTACGGGAGCGAGTGAAGACTAAGCAGAAATACAGCAAGGAGTATACGGACCGAAAGAGAGGTGCGAAGACTCCAAAGTTTCAACCAGGCGACTCTGTGAGGGTGAAGAAACCCACTATCGCCAAAAAAGGTGACCTGTCCTACAGTAAGCCACAAACGATTGTGGGACAGAAGGGTCCAAGTTCCTTTATTCTTGAAGATCACCACACGTGGAACGCTTCAAAGTTGTCAAGCGTACCGCAGATGCCTGCAGGTGATACGCAGAGTCCAGCCAAGCCCATGTCATCTCCCTCAACAAGCGTATCGAGAGATTTTAGTGCTTCCGAAGTTTCAGATGAGGCCGAGGACGTGGAGCACCTTGAGATACCCCTGGATAGCGGAGGAGAGCCTGTAGAGGAGCAAGTGCTGGGGGAAGATCAAAGCCGGCCGCTACCGAGAAAGTCGACTCGAGAGCGACGACAACCAGCATGGCTTCAAGACTACGCCAAGAAATAGACATTCTTTTGATTGAAGTTAAAATTGCGTAGAAGTTAGATGTTGCATTGAAGTTAACTTTTTGCAAGGGGGGAGAGATGTTATATCGCGTCGGCAACCTTGCCAACTCATGTATGTTTTGTTTTGTTGCTGAAAAGCTGACACCATGATGCCAATAAAAGATTGCGCTGCTTGAGTCGAGCAGGCAGAAAACCACGGAATACGACTACTGCGTGTTTGCTACCGGCTGGCTCGGGTCGCTTGCTCGGCCGCCTTCCTTTGGCCGATACTACAGTCACTATCGTCTATTTCTAGGTCGCTGCCCGCGGTATATTTCGCTTTGTTTTTTCACGTTGCAGGTTTTACGCAAACTTTGGCCTGGACGTGATTGCAAGGTGCTTATTTGGCATAAAACTGAAGCCGCATTCGGACGTCACCAATAAGTTTGTCATCGAAGCCAAGCGCGCATTTTCGCGAAACTTGACGCTTCCTCTGGTTGCCATATGTAAGTTCCCACGTAAAACAATTTTTCGCCAGTATTTAGAAAGGTACAGTTTCTCCGAATAATAGGGATGTTTTGCGTTTGCAGACCTCTTCCCGGGTTTGATACAGTGGTTTAACGTTAAGCTCCTTAACTTCGACATAATTCGCTGTTTTAAGGACCTCGCTGGAAACGCTATACACGAGCGAGGCAAGGGAGGTCATGTAAGTAACACTGACAGCTCTGTATAAGGCGGAAAATATTCAAAACAAAAAAACACTGGCAATATTAAAAAAAAAAGATATTTCTGCCGAATCACGATATCGACCGCAGCGGATGTCAGAGCAGGAGTCTTACACAGAAACATTTAGTGACTGGATTAACTAAGATTTGCTAACTAACTTTTTAACTATACTTGTTAGCTGGGACACTTTAATGACAGATCTGTAGCCTATCGTAAGTATAGGTCAAATAGGTTGTTAGATTTTGTTTCCGTCTGGCAACTGCGGGAATCAAGTGGGGTTTGGCCATCACACTCCAATGCAGGTTTTCGGCTGCGAGACATTCTTCATGCATGACGCTGTTTTGCAGGACCAACGATATATATATTTATTAGTGAACCCAGAAAATGTTCATTGATTAAGCTTTTGTGTACTAAATCGGATTTTCGGGCAGTTAGATGGCGATCACGGCCGATGAAAAGCAAAGTAAAGCCGACGTTGAATGTTTACGCGGTGTGAAGTCATCAGAATGTGTAATCGTAAATAAAATTTTTATCAGAAAGCATGTTGTTTTTAGGAGTCCTGAGGTCTAGAAAAAAACTGATTTTCATGTCACGTGAGAAAACTTTCTATAGTGCAAGTTTGCCTATCCTCATTACAAAGATCTGGAGCGTTTTATCGGTTTTCTACATCTATTTCTCAATAGTGATAGTGAACACGCTTACAGCTATCCTGCTAGTATTTTTCCACTAACACTAATAGAAAAATGACACAGATTTGACTAAGTTTATGGCGTAGCTTCACAGCCGTCAAAGGGAAGTTTGGCTACTACAGTATAACTGCTAACTTTGGGTTGTTAAGGAGAATCACGCAGCATTGATTACATGAATGCATGCCGGTATCACTAATAGAGGACTGCACTGAGCTGCTCCAAACTTATATATGTGCTGCTCCCAAGCTTCTTCAACTTCAAAGTGTAAAATCTTGTAATACAAAAATGATCCAAAACGAGATTCTTTTTTTTTTCTGCTTTAAATATTGCTCTAAACTCCTAATTCGCTGGACCACTCCTGTTGAGAGTAACCTGGAAAGCACATGACTGTATCGCGTGCAAACACATTCGAAACCACCCAAAGCTCACCGTAATTAAGCATGACAAATCATACTTATATTGCACGTACCATACATTCTAGGCTCCCCGCGTTTATCCGAATAATCCAAACAAGTTTTTAAATATTTTCTTCTGAACCTCGAATTGCCTTGAGCATGAGCAGTTGTCGGACTTGGTGTTATAAAGTCTTCTTTCGCAGAAGTCCAAAGACTATCTCAAACTTTTGATGGATGCACGTGAGGAACGCCATGACACAAATGGATATCCAAACCGTCGTGAGACTCCAGAACGTTCAGGTGACGTGCTTCATGGAGTAACAGTTTCTTTTTTTATTTTGTTTTTCGCGACTGTTCCGGAGCTTTTGGTTATTTGCAGTGCGTAGAGCGTAGGACGATGGCAACTTTCTTTTCAGTACTGAGTGAAGTCGAGGTGCTGGCACAGTGCGTCGTCATGTTTCTCAGCGGCCAGGACAGCACGTCGTCTGTTATTGCACACACTGTCTACCTGCTGGCCTTACATCCTGACAAGCAAATGAAACTTCGAGAGGAAGTGGACCGATGCTTCAGCTCACACGTACGTCGTGTCGTTCACGTAACATTCCTTGGCCTGTGCACACGCGGCGTGTGAAATTTAACGGGTGGAACCATACCGGTAAACGCAGGGAAAGCGGCTGCCTGGAGAGCGAAAGGAAAATGTGCAACTTATACAGGAAAACTAGGAAATGAGCAGTTACGCGTAAGGCGTTTGTTCTGAACCATAGTCGCTGACAGGGTGACGATGGCAGTGAGAGGTTTCAGCTGTCTATCCTTCAGTGCGAGCTTCCCCTTCGATAAAACTTCGGTGTCTGGTGAGCCCCTCAGCGCGGGCGTTCTCGCGCAGTCAAAGCACGGCGGAAGGCACGAGTACGTATGCCGGAGGCCGGGCACTCGAAAGACACGCCCTGCCATTTTGATCGTGTCGGAGACTATATTGACCAAAAGTGAAACGTCAGCGAGGTGGCTTGCCAAGTGCTTTTTATATTCACTGACGAGGTGAGAAGGGCGGGACGTTTTTTTCGAACGGTCGGCTTCCAGAGCTCGCTCGTTTGCCTTCCGCCGTGCTCTGGATGCGGGTGCACGCTCGAGGCTCCCGAGTCGCCGAAGCGTTACAGAACGCAGGGGAGCTCTCGCTGCAGGCGGGACGACTGCAGCTCCTCCTCGCCGCCCTCTATCTTTCAGCGATTACAATGTTAAACGGCACCCGGGATCGCCGAGGTTACCGAGAGATACGATTCAAGTACACGAACTCTGGCAGGTTTCGTTCTACATTCTCTCGCGGTACGTAGTCGCTCCCATGGATGAGGAAAAGAGAGGTGTCGGAACAAGGCCAGAAAGAGGGTCGAAATTCCAACAGGACTTCGCGCAATCTCCCAACGGTTCTATATCCCACATTGCCGCGCAGACGGAATCGCGCGCCTCCCGGCCTTGAGAATGCGTGGGCGAATGAAGACGGTGCCTCGAGCTCTTGTCATGCTGCGCCATCTCACGGCGTTTGTCAGAAATGGGAGCAAATGTTCGACATACTTGCAACGTGCAGAGGCGCCGCCGATCAGACACCTGTCTATGCTTCCACCGTGCTTGCTCCATAAACGAGCATGGCAAATGCAATTTACTCGTTCGTTTATTTCATTTCTCTCAAGTTATGAGCTCACTCAGGGGCGAAGAGAACGTGTTTACTGCCTTCTAAATAAAGCACATGCGCTCGAAATGGGAGCCTCAATAGGGCCAAGGTCAACACTTTCGGCTTCCGTGTCCCCCTTGCCCTTGGCAATTAGATATTCGAGGGCGTGGAGGAATAAACACGAATGGCAACCCCGGGAGGCTACTTCGGTCCGCAGACCTTGATTGAATAGAACGCGCTCTCCCCTCCTCCAGAGGCACGCCACAGCATAAGAAAATAGATGACGTCGGTGCTCCCGGTTACCTTTCTTACCAAACAAGGCGACCACGCGTGCCGGCGGTGCTGTTCCGCAACCTGATAGACAGAGAGAGCGCTCTGAGAGGAAGGAGTGCCATCGAAAGGAACCATACTCCGTTTCCCATCAAGTCCGACCGCATGCCAACGTTACGATCAGACGAAACCACTCAAACAGCACTAAAAGTTAATCGTCACGGTCGTGTTTGGGCGTTTTCCAACACCGGTTAAGGCCCGTTCATACTCTTGCAACCGAGTACGACTGAGAGAGACGAGACCGGTTTTTAAGCCTTTTCCGATCTCTTAGGACCAGCTCCGCTGCAGCGAAGCTGGTCCTAAGAAGTCACAAGAGGCTTAAAGGGACACTCAAGCGGTTTTTGGAGAAGCTACTTTTTGGTGCGATGGTGTTAAGGAAGTGTCAGCGAATGAGTATCTTCAGTTTTAGAAGGCAGAAACGCCTATTAATCACGCAGGAATAAAATACGTGCGGACTCTTTTCTGTACTTGCGAGGACCAATGAAATTATCGTATGTTTGAAAATTTTGGCGGTCTTTTTAAAGTTTCGCTAAAAAAACAATTTTCAGTTCATTTAAATATGTTGTGCATGATAATTTCACAAGACGTAAAATATTTCTAGTTTAGAATACGCGATAGCGCAATTATCGTTTCACAAACAAGGGACTACGTTTTCTCAAAGCCTTCCTCCGCGGGGGGTGAATTTCCCGTTCCCCAGGGATGCGCGGAAGCGCACGTATCTCCGCGCGTTGCAGGCCGGCTCCTTCTAACCGCAAACGTGGCGTCGGTGGTGATCGTCGGCATGGACGGCCTGGTGAAAGCTCATCGTTCCGCGTAAAAGCGCTATCCTTGACTGTGAATTTTCGTCGTGTTTCGCTATGATAACCCAGCACGTACTAGAAGGGAACATCCACCTACTCGTGCGGCGATGTCGTGGCGGCACTCTCAAGACGGCAGAAGCGCCCGTGCCGTCGTGTTCGTTTACTTCGACTACAGTGGTGCTTTCTAAGCATTTGTGTCCTCGAACATCGCCCGGATTTCTGATTTGGCGCATTTCATGCGTGTGCTCAAGTTCAAGGTATTACTGGCGCGTACCGTATAAAGGATACGAATTTTCACGCGTTTTCATCACCGGAGAAAAGTGATTAGGGTTAGCAATCCTGAACGCTCGCAACGTCTATCTGATCACGAAATCACGTTGCTATATCGCTGCTAAGATTACATTGTCTTTTATAATCGTAGAAAAGGCGTGTGGCGATATTTGTACTATTGCAATGTCGTGTATTAGAGTCGTGATCGTCCAAGACGGCGCTACATCTTTTTATTTATTTTTTCATTCGCTGTACCCTGCAAGCCTATCAAGAAAAAATAATAAAGCTTTAGACTAGAAAACTGTGTCTATATACTGTTACGGCATTGAGTAGCAGTGCGCCCCCTTTTTTAGAGGGGCCGGTGACACAGCTGACGGCGGCGTACAGAAGCGGTCGCCGTGCTGACGACCCGCTGCGCTTGTTGTAGTGGTTACAGGTGTGTGTACAGGTGGTATTGGTACGCGCGGCGCAGTGCGGTCGTTCCGGTCGCTCCGGTTGCAACGGACGCAGTCGTAGGTACGCGCTCGTTGCACATGTCTGAACCAGCCTTCCCCCCGTTCTCCCGAGGCGAAAGTCAACGTGGCGACATCGTTTGACATCACGTACCAAAGGTAACGCTGCGATGTCAAACGTTGGTTTGGTACGACTTGCCCCAACCGCAAATCGAAGAACGCCCGAAAAGGTCTGCGTTTCGTCGTCCTCGGAACCCGAACATGACTCCGAAGCGCTGCTATCGTCCACATCGCACGTCGGAGTGGCGTCATAGCAAATCATCCCCAGGTCGGCTGTCCGCCGAAGAACTTCAACCTCTAACGGCGTCAGGTCCTCGAGCGTAGAGAACTCCGCCATGATCGAAGCTCGAATGACAAAGAGGTTCGGCCGATGCGGCCACAGATGCGGCTACCTCGGGATCACTGCGCGACGGAACGTCGTCCAACGCCATTGGCCCGAGATCCTTTTGATTAGCGTGCGACGACCAATGAGAGTGGTTTCGTTTTCGGATGGATCCGAGGTTTGGCGGCCTTCAATTACATTTTTATTAAAGAAATAATCACCGTATGACTATACTTTTTGGTTTTTAGGGATACTTAAGGCGTCTAAATTCAGCTGTCATTATCAAAACACGAACTCAAAAACCACTTGACTGCCCCTTTAAAAACCGGTCTGGTCTCTCTCGGTCGTACTCGGTTGCAAGAGTGTGAACGGCGCTTTAAACTAATATGACGCGCAGAAAAAAAAAAGAAAAAAAAAAGAAAAAGAAACGCGCCGCAGCATGGCATACTCACTGAGCGCGAATGGGTTAGCCCGTGATAGAGTACAGGTCCGGAGCTCTCAATAGAGTTCCTGTATACTCTGGGAGCCCCGCCATCTTGAAATATCGTCACTTCCAGTATGGGCGAAAACATGGTTTTGCCGTCGCCACGGCAATAGAATACATTTAGGATTTATGCGTAACTGTCGCCCGATCTCGTTTTGACTTCCCCATTTTTTTTTTTTTTTAAATTTGTTGGTTGAAATGTTTTATTATGTTTTCGTCGCCCATACCGGACGTGCTTTCAATGTGGCTGTGGACGAAAGTCAGCAAAAAAGGTCTATACAGGAACTCTAGCTCTCAAGTTTGGGCAGCGCGTCTGGCGAGCCAAATCGAACATTTCTCGGTCCCGTTTCGGTTGTGCGTCATTACGCTTTTTTACGTTGCTCACGGGCAACTAAGCTGTCAGAATTTCATTAGTGGGCATACATTCTCGAAAGAAAATATAGAGAACAATTGAGGTGCAAAAAAAAGACATTCTAATCATTCTGATAGGACACTGAAAGCTCGAGCCGCATTTCTATTTGGTTTATTTAAACTTTCTTTAGTTCTTTCAGACGCCCTGTCACCACGCGTAGACAGATGCTGACGCACGCTTGTGAACGACCCTACTTAGCCCGTGCATTATCGAACGCTGAGGCGCCGCTTTATGCACGATGCGAGCATTACATGGTCGCGTCTTACGATCGCGGTCGTGCACCCTGGTCATGAGAAACGGGACTATCACTCTCAAGAAAAAAAGGGAATAAAAGGGTGTATTGTTGCACCCTTTGTCCCATATAATACACCCCAAAACTTTAATTCGACGTACAGCACCCTATAGTCGAACAGACGGCCCCAACTTTCACGAGCGGCCTGATAGCCGTGTGGTACAACCTATTAAAATAGCTAATGTACGTTTTACTGACTACAAAAAAAAAAAAAAAGAAAAAAACAATAATGAGGGTTTTCTTGGCCCTATTGTAAAACTTCGGTGTTTTCTTTCTGTGGTCTTTGATACGTACTTTAGCTATTTCATAAGTTATATCGCACCGTTATCAAGCCCCTCGTAAAATTTGGGGCCGTCTGTTCGACTATAGAACTCTGTACGTCGAAATGAATTTTTGGGGTGTATTATATGGGACAAAGGGTGCAACGATACACCCTTTTGCACCTCTGTTTCTTGAGTGTGTTCGGGCGACAATGTATGTCTCTTCATCCCACTCTCTTTCCACCGTCCGATCTCAAGCGCGCTGGAAAGAGCACTTGAGGGAGCGCTGAAAGCACCGCCAATATTCGACCATAGCGTCGCCTATTTACGAGCCCTGAAATATTTGCAAGGCCACGAAACGGAAAGACCAAAGACCGAGAAGGAAGGAAACTACGGAGAAAGGCGAGACAAAGCTTTTTGGGCGAGTTGGTCAGTAGTGAAGGCTTCGCCGTTACGCTTACCTGCGGCGTTCAAAAAGCGGTTATCATTTTTTTAGTGAGAAAACACCTTTCTTGTGGTCTAGTCTATGAGAGGTTGAGGACGTAAACGTATTTAACGTCTGTTTCAACATTAAAAAAAAAAGAAACGATTTGATGGAATTAATCAATTATTTAGGAATTAATATATCCTCTTTTTTAAAATCCTATATACATTCAAATGGCCTGTGCAAAAATAAAAAGTAGGTTAAATTAAAAGGACGTTAAAGAGCCAGACTAGAAGCCGTAAACCGCGATATAAGAAATTGCATGATGTGCCAAATAATATGCGTATAAAGCTCCTCCGAATCATATTAACGAAAGTGTGTTTCCTTGTTCCACGTATTGTTTATGGCTCTCGTAACAATCGCTATTGTCGTCTTCGTAATTATCATGCTGTAAACCATAACCACTAATCTGAGCACCAGGAAAACGGCCGCCATCGCATATTTGGTACGAATATTTCTGTATTTTTGGCATGCGCAAGGGGCTCATGAGAGTATTTTCGAATTACAAGCATATTTTGGTCGATCAATGGAATGCGCCTGTCAAAATAGCGATAACAAAAAAAAAAGAAAAAAAAAAAGTATTAAAAAAAAACTTTTTATTTTCAGGTTTTTAATACAGAGATAATGGGCATGTGCCTGCACATTCCAGTTGTCCAAACCTTTGACATTATTAAGATGGCAATTTGGGCCAGTTGGTTCATGATCGAAGATCGGCGCCGAAAAAACAAGGGCAAGAAGAGACTAAACACTGGCGCACTCGGAATAAATGTTAGTTGCGAGTGCGCCAGCGTTTATGTATCTTCTTTCCCTTGTTTTTTTGGCGTCTGTCTTCAACTTTGACATTATCATCTTTTGTTTTGAACGGGACACTGCGAGAGTCGCGTATAAACGGATCTAGTTTGCCAGAACGTACACAGGCTTTATTACCGAGGCGGGCCTAGGGAGAAACGGAAGTGCGTTTATAAAAAAACACAAAATAAAACATGAAGTATATAACGTCTTAAAATACAGACTAAATATGGGCTCACAATATGTATAATTACGATGCTGTTCACAACGTAATTGAAGTGAAAAAAAAAAGAATCTACTATCAAGAAGAAAAAAGAAAGGAAAAAGGTGCCAGGCTGATGTTTGATTTTTTTTTTCCTTCAAAGGGTGAGGACATCCCTCCAGAAGTTGTCTTGAAGCTGAATTACCTTCACGCGGTTGTGTCGGAGGCTTTGAGACTCTTTCCTCCTGCAACAAGGTATGCTTGCAACATAGGCCGATCTCTAAAAGATTTTCTCAAATAAACTCGGATGTTAGAAACTATGTCTAACAAAGATAGTTTATTATGCTATGTGTTTTACGCCATTTGTTCCTAGAAACTGCACGCTGTATGTTTAATGGACACTTGTAAAGGAAAATACAAGGAGGTTCTGTTGCTGGTAATATTGCGAATCTAGGATTCAAATATAAAACTAAACTAAACAAGAAGTACCATAAATCGGCCGAGCTCCGAGAAGCGCTGGTTAATGCAATAAAAGCGCTTATTGATGGTTTTTTATGCTGCGTCTTTTTACCAGTAACCAGGCTAAAATGTTCATGTACCACCGGGCTACTGATGCATTTAAGGTTTTCTCACAAACAAAATAGAATACTTTAGAACGGCATTCTGTATGCAGGTTTCTCCTCGAAATTGATAAATAAGCAATTTATATAAAGTATTTTGATATGATTCATAATTTGTTCCCGAACACTACGTACAGGGTGCGGTAATATGCGCTGTGCCAGCGGCATTCAGGCTGAGGCAGCATATAAAAGCCACGTGGGCAGCCCTGGGTACGTGAAGCTACTAAGTCGGTGTCATAGCTAGCAGGCTGGAGTCATCCCATGCGTCATTTTACTATTTTAGACTAGTACTAAACTGAGACAGCTTATATTTCCGCTTACTGTACCTTTCTACACTCTGTCGTAAACCACGAGTCGTATCGGCATCGTTATTGACTTCAACTGCATCGGAGGTGCTTTCTAGTTAATGTAGTGCAACAAAACAGGTAATTGATTATGATAAAACAAACGGACAAAATTGCTTTAAACACCACGCCGAAGAGGTTTTACTAACCTTTTAAGAAGTTAGTTTTCCTACGGGTATACCTGAAGTTTCATATAATGATATTGTGCATCAAAGGTGTGTTTGGTAGCTGAGAATCTGTAAAAAATATTTCCAGCCACCTTGGCCTATAATGTATGGAATCCAATATTTAAGTGTAGATCTTTTAAGCTTGTTTAGCGGACATTATGCAGTCATTTCGGGGTATGAAGACAAACAGGTTTATTAAATTTCCCGCCAAACTTAGCGAGGAAATTGAAGGCGCGTGACATCACAAACTTACTCCGTGACGGCAATTTTTACTCTAAATTGAACGGGGAATTGACGTCATGTAGTCTGACGTCAGGTGACGTGATCGTCCCGTCTTATGTCACGCGGCGTCAGCTCACGTGACGTAAATTTTCCCGTTTAATTTTAGGAAGAACTGACACCACGTGGTGATGTCACGTGACGTGACGTCACTCGAAGTTGTAACGTGACCAGACATCACGCTGTCATGTCTCTTGAGATCACGTGGAGTCAATTGGCGTCAGGTCACGTGAGTATCAGAAATGCCTGAAGTCGAAGTGGGCGTCAGAATGTTTAGTTCACTTCGAACCGAAGCTCTCCTTAATAGTTGTATGCTCTTAACATAACACTTGAGATTTCGGGTTGACTGATTGTGCTTGGCAACAGGATTGACAGGTCCACAACGGAAGACTACGCTCTCGGTGACACAGGCATCACTCTTCCCAAGGGCTGCACAATCACCGTGCCCATTTATGCCATGCATCGGGATCCTTTGAATTTCATTGACCCGGACTCTTTCATTCCAGAGAGGTACAGCTATATTCTTTTATTAAACGAGGTGATACTGCTTTGTGTCTAAAAAGTGGCAAATCTTTCGAAATTAGGAGTCAAAGTGAAATGCGTTATATTTCAAACAATTGCAAGAGTTTATTCCGCAGTGTTACTCTTTAAAAGATAAATAGGTGCTGGACACTTGTGTCATAAATGAACATGGAGCTCTATTTAGAGTAATAACTGAGTTTTCCATTGGGGTCGAAGACCGAAGAAAAAGGGAACGTGAATGCATTGACTTAACATGCAAATATTTGTTTTAAGTATGAATTTTTGCCTTGTATATAATTTATTTGTGTGTAATATTTAATTTTGTTATGTGTTTTGTACAACTCTTTCCCCAACTCCTGCAATAGCCCCAGCGAAGCTGCAGTAATTCAACATAAAAATAAATACACAAATAAATGTTCTAGCTCTCATAAGCGCCTTGATATTTCCGTGAAGCATATTAAAATCTATACATATATTTAATTTACGTCGAGAAATATTAATGTAGGGTAGAAATAAAAGTCCTACGGGTCGTTCAATTTTTTTTTTTTGTAATTCTACCCTTGCGTGATACTTGTTCACCCGTGTTAAAAAAAAAAATATAGGTGGAGTTTTTTGAGGTTGCTGATCCCTCCTTCAGTTGCCTCAAAGTTAACAACAAACTTCATCTAAAAAATAAAACTCCCCAAAAATTTGACAGACGAAAAACAAAGAAAGGAACTAATGTATCACACTCGGGTACTAGAGAAAATAATGCCCCTTTCGTAATTAAGATTAAATCTGGGATGGAAAAAGGAATATTAATTTCGTTTCATCGACCAGTATTGTTGCATTGCAATTCCCTAACTGGTTTTGTATTACGAGGAAGCTTTCGTATCGGTATATCTATTACTCAAGAATAAAATTTAAGTAGGCCAAGGGGGACATTTGTCATAACTTTGAATCTATTTGATAATTGTACTTTTTTATATATCTGCCAGTGGAGGTGAGCACCGACAAATTCTGCCTAAAAAACAAACGGATGTGGCACATCGCATAAGAAAATCATATGTGATTTCAGTACAGCAATACTGTGAGGTTCTTAAAAAGGAAATTGCCAGAGATTGATAACCTTTCATTAAAATAAGCAGTTTGTTTTCAATGTAAAAGTGATAAGAACATAGTACACTGAAACACCACTAAGTATAATGTCACCAAGTTCATTCTATTGTGCAACACTTTATGAAGTAGGGTAACACTACAAAATTCTTTGGTTTCCTCTTGGGTACAATGGTTGAGCTTTTCAACTTGTTTAGAAGGGACATTGCCTGGGTTTTGTATTAGAACCGAGGGACGCCCCTCTTTATCAATTTAGAGTTGGCTGAGTCAAAAGCCAGAAGGCTTTTGACTCAGCCCACTCTAAATAGATAAAGAGGGGCATCGCCTCATTGTGCCCTCGGTCGGCACTGCCGAAATCCTCTGCGCATGTGAATAGAGATAGTTTTGACTTCCAGACACGTCGCTTGGAACACTCCGGTCTTCCTTCGGTTCTAATACAGGGAGTTGCGAAATCACTTTTAAAAAAAACTGAAAATCTCAACCATTGCACCCAAGAGGAAACCAAAGAATTTTGTAGTGTTACCCTACATTTACAAAGTGTCGCACAATCTGAAAAGGATAGGATCCAAGTTCGACGTTGACGCTGTTTTCACTGCCCCGTGCAAATGATCTAAAATGTGCGCTATGGTGAGCGGGCCGAAAGTGAAGAAACCTTCTTGCTGCAAGAAACACTCCACAAAGTTTGTTCATTGTGCCACTGAGGTGGTTCACGGGATTCCTTTAACTTGTGCTCTTGCTTACACAGGCCAGACGGGACGTTGCTTCAATAATAGACTTCGAGAACATGCGGCTTCTCTTGTCAACAATTACGATTCTCCCTTGCCTGGGTATTGTAAAACTTGTGGGCGTTCCCCCATGCTGGACGGTGTGCAGGTGGAGGGACGCAACAAAGGAAGGTTAGAAAGAGGGTTGCTGGAGGCGGCAAAAATACATGCTTGCGGCAAAGGCATTTGCGTTAGCATTTGCATCGGTGTATATGCAGTCTAAAGAGTACACCTTCATTAACACTATCTAGGTTGTAAAAGTTAACACGGCTCGTTTTCCTTTCCTCGTTCGGGTTGTGCGGCGGGGTGATGTAGCTGTTTTGCTAACTTTTGAACAGGCGGTTGTCGGATTAAATCAACTGATTTGGCGGTACACCGGGTTTCTGTTGAGATGAGATTACGCGCGTGCACGTTGATAGAAAAGTTAGAAGCGTTCAATAGGTTAACTTTAGTTCCCAGTTAGCGCTTGTCCCGTGTGCTTCTTCCTCTTTTTGTCCCGTCTTTTTGCGCTATTTTTAATATGAATGTCGATTATCCCCTTGCCCAGCAGACCAAGCTTTTATGATAAAAGACGAGGAGGCTCATATGCCATATAGACAACCAAGCATGGCGCTTCACTAGTGCCCCATGCGTGCAAGCATGTGCAGCGCGTGCGTGAACATAGCATTAGCAAGCTCGTAAATGCATGCACTTGCCAGCACGACCAGACGACCAGAGACGGAGGCGGCCACATGCCTTGCTTGCTAGCGTCTATAGGGAGTATTCACTGGCGGCCATATCCGTATGCGCTGCCACTGAGCGCGTGCTGACGGCGAGCTTCCGCAGTTCTTTTGGAGCGTGCATTTAGCACCATCAAGGCTGCCGGTCTTAGCAGGCTATTAACGTGAGCTCGTTCTGAGCATGCGCTCTAAACATCGCCCTAAAATATGGAGTCCAGTGAATACCTCCTATAATGAGCCCCGCGCTCTCGTGAATAAAACAGTTAAAATTTGGATCTGGAGCTGGTTGGACGTTCCTATAGGGTGTTTTCCCTTGACGAGAATCTGCCATTTTGTTGTTATATGTCAGCGTTATGAAGTTATAAGCTATTGTGCCCAACCAATTTGTGAATGTAATGTGAATATTCCGAGTATACTCGGCCTCTGCACGTACCAGATTGCTCATAACAACAAAATAGTGGATGAAATAACGTTGGTGAAAACACCCTATAGTGATACTAGAAGCTCCGCCTTCAGCGAGAACTTTCTGCCCTTAATAACACAAATGCGAATGTGCAGGCACGCGCAACCAAATCACTGCAGAAGCCAGCGATCTTGCGCAGAAGGCGTTCTGGTCTCAGCTTAAGGGTGTATAAACGAAGTATTGGTACGAATACATGATAGGATAAAGCATTGAAGACGAGGACTTAAACCTATATTTTTCATTTAGCAACAGTATAGAATGACACAAAATAAAATACCGCCCCCCCCCCCTTAAAAAAAAAAAGGTTTTAACATTTTTGAAAAGGTTAAAGGAGAAAATTGATGAATATTAAGGAAAGGGAAATTTACTTTAAATTTTAAAGTTTAAAAAGCACTAGTGCCACGATGAGGTATCTGTAATCTAGTTATCTCTGGCGCCAAGCATTCGACACCTATATTTGTCAATGATAATGAACGTGCAGAAATATTGTTGTTGAGAGTCCCAGGCAAACGATTCAATGATTTCCCTTTCATATCTGTTGTTTTGCCCGCCCAGTATTTTAGTGTCAGAGAAATAAGAAGTACAGTCATCGCACGTGCGGCGGTGAACGACGATTGGGTGAAAAGACTCATTTGAAGCCTTTGATGCTTCCAAGTTGCGTTTTCTGAGTCGATGGTTAACGCATCTCCAAGTTTGTCCAATGTACTGACGTCGGCAGCTTAGTGGAATTGAATCAACTTTTCTTTCTTCGTACTCCACGAACTTTTTGGCATGTTTAACATTGCAAACTCTGGGACTGTCGCCCTCACTTACTCTTTTTTTACAGATCTGATTGAGGCGCATACGACAGGAAAAAACCACACTCGTGTCGAACTTGGAAGCGACAGATTGTAAACGGTGCGCGGAATAGTGCATGTAGGAAACCACAGCGAAACGACCTTTTTTTTTGGCAACAGCTTACAGAAGGTGCGGCCTGAGAATGAATCTCTCAAGGGTGAAACCAAGTAGGCCCGCAGAAAAACCTGCTTTTATCAACCTCTGATGCTGCAACTTAGGCTACTTTCAGAGAAATGCGTACACGCCTTGCAAAATGAGGACTTGAAAAGCGCCCTCACTGTGCCATGCTTAACTCACTTTGAATGAGCACTGGTGAAAGTGAGGACTGGTTTCCCCGACCTTGGCTGGGAGGCCCAACAAAGACTTGAGGAACGACGATGTAACCACTAAGCTGCGGCAGTCAGTAAATTGAACAAACTGCGAGATGTGTTAACCATTGACTCAGAGAACACAACTTGGAAGCATCAAGGGCTACAAATGAGTTTTTTTAATCCAATCGTCGTTCACAGCCGCACGCGCGATGACTGTACTCCATGTTTACCTGTTACTAAAATACTGGGTGGGAACAACAACAGATTTGGGAGAGAAATCATTGACTCATTTGGCATTGAAACTGTCAACAATTTTCTGCACCTTTATTATCACTGACAAAGGCAGAGGTCGAATTCCTAGCAAGAGGACTAGATTACTGATAGCTTGTCGTGACGCTATTTTTTTTTTAAACGTTTACATTCATAGTAAATTAACATTGCCTTCACCAAGCTTCTCCTTCCTCCCTTAGCGAACGTTGAAACCTTTGAGGGTAATTTTATATATTGTGTCATTCTACGTTGTTGCTAAATGAAAGCAGTTCTGCCCCCGTCCTCGATGTTTTATCCTTTCATGTATACGTATCGATTCGCCAACACGCTCCTTCTTATTTATTAAGTATTCGTAGCTTCTTTTTTCGAAGAAAATAGTTCAAGTGCGTAGTCTTCTAGAATCCTTTAATTCTGTCTTCGAGAGCTGTGCATCAAGATCAAGCGGTGTTCGGCAGACGCAGCGTTCGACTAACTCGCGCGTCAGTCCCGAGGTTCTGTGTTCATGGCGAAAACAGACGGGAGAGCGCCAACTGCTATCTGAGATGCAACATTTATCCCTCCTTAAGGTGGATAGCGGTGAACTGGTTTCTTGGGCCGGGTCGACCGCCGACGAACTGTAATGGACGTCTTGTATTCGGCTACGTAAGATTGCTCCGGCGGGTCACTAATAGCCTTTTGATCAGGTGGTTCCGGCGTCGTGCTCTCCGGTTGCACTACAAAATTCCTTTGTCATGCGGACAGGTTTACATAGGACAGTCGGGACGCTGCGTCAACGAGAGAATGCGTGAGCATGCGAATTCCCTGCGGTCAATGACCGGAGGTCACTTGTACGTACATGGCAGAGACTGCCAGTGTCACCCCGTCTTCCAAAATACCTTAATCATTGGCAGGGGTCGCACAAAAGTGCAAAGAGAGGGGCTGGAGGCGCATGCTATCGAAAAAGCTGGCGCGGGGCACTGCGTCAGCCAACCTTCTGTTTATCTTCACAAAAAAAAGATAGATTTTAAAGATGACTGGTGAGCGACACGCCATTGGTTGTTTCGGCGTTGGTTGGCTGTGTGGTGTTTTCTTGTTTTGAGCCGTTTTTAATAAAACTTCAGCTGATAGTCTGCGCTTGTCCTGTGCTCTTCTCTCGTCGTCTTCGTCTTTTTGTGCGCTGTTTCCAATTTCCGAAGCTTTTAATATGTCACCAAAATAAACCATCACCCAAGCAAATTGTCGCAAAAAATCGACACTGCGAAGTCCAACGCTAATGCTTCACGCTCGAGTTTTCCCGGCCTTCGACAGTCTGCGGGATCGGAATCCACTTGACTTGTCGTGGCTTTCAACTCGATGCGAGAGCAATGGGCTTATTGGAGCCGTACGGCGATGCGTCGCACTCCAGGCGTAGGTGCTTGGCGGGATCGAATTGCGCGAGCATCTTTACTTGTCGTAGGCTTGCTTGGACTTTTCGAGCTACTCTTGTTGCTCCGGACCACAGTTACAGCGACGATATTTGACTATAATCCGTTTCACCTTATGTTGTACCGCAGACAATGCTAGAAGCGCGAGCTCATAGCGTTGGGAGCTACTCTTAACGCACGAGAGCTTGTGGTGCCGAGATGTGTTCTAAAGCAAGGAGCTCGCGCTTGTAGCTTTTCCTGCGGTACATCATAAGGTGAAACAAAGAATAGAGGAATGTAGAGTTGAGCGAGCAAAGTAGCCATGTTTCGAAGGAACTTGTTATGTGATAAGACCGATGCACAAACGTAGTTCGCTTATGTTCTTGGGACTTGGAGCTTTCATCACTGCATACAGGTTCTTCTCAAGAGGCTGCAGTGAGTTGCGGCTGATTTTGTGACCCAGGTAGCCGACATCCGGCGCCGAGAAGGTGTATTTATCCTTCCTTAACATGACGCTGTTTTCCCGGGAACACTTTAAAACTGCCTTAACGCCTGGTATGCTCTTCAGCATAATCTCCAAGGTACGCTAAATATTCCCGATACAGAAGCGGGATAATTATTATTTCTTCAATAAGAATTTTAAGAGCCACCAGTCAACTGATCCTGCAATTATTCTTGTTGCCGGGATGATCAACATCATTGTAATTTTGTTGTTTGGCGTCACGATACAGGTTCACTGAAGACAACGCTGCGTCCGTTCTTCCGTACACCTATTTACCATTTGGTGCTGGCCCCAAGGGATGTCTAGGCATGAACTTGGCGCTTCTGGCAGTAAAGCTCTGCCTGATGTACTCTCTTCGAGCTATTGAGTTTGTCCGGACATCGAAAACAAAGGTTGGTCAGCCTTGTTGCAATTTCTTGTGAGATCAATATGTTTTTTTCGAAAAGGGCACACAAAGCATTCCGAGTAGAATACATTTTTAAACCCGACATGTTCTTCACAATAATAATAATAAAAAAAACTATGATGTACGCACGCTATTCAAGTATTTAATTTGTTTTAACCAAGGAGAAGGTTAAGAAATGTCTTCCAAAGAAAGAAGCGCATCTCGGAGTCCTTGTCACTTAACATGATAGTTTTCGGCATGCTAATTGGCAAAACGTCTCGTAAGGGCCTTTTAGCCTCGCACAGAGGTACTGCATACGCTTTGTTTTTGTTCAGTGCTGGCATTAAAAAAACATTTTGATGCCCTCTCGTGTTTTTTTTTTTTTTTTTTTGCTTTTGTGTAGGAAATGTTTATAATTAATTTAGAAGAATTTCAAAAATTTAGTGTGTTTGATTTGTGCCGCATGACAACCCCCTGACTCTCGTAATCTGAGCGCACCCATAGTGTAATTTTTTGAGATTTTCGTTTTGTTAATGACGGCTCCTTTCATGCTCCCTGCAGACAACAAAGTCACAAGCCTCCGTATTACCGTATTTACTCGAGTAATAGCCGCACTGTTTAAGAAGAAAATCTGAGGGTTCGCTTTTCCGTGGAACAGGCGGATTGCCAATCGCCGCGATCGACAGCATGATTCCAGCGGTTTACAGGACAGAGATAACGTCTTCGCACGAAGATACCATCTGCGAAGATTGCATTTGGGTGGAGACTCACGCTCTCGATCTACTTATTCGCTATGTTATTTATGCGGAACACGATGATTGGCTGTATATATGCTTTGCGGGAAAGCAGACGCAAGGGCCTTGTTCATAAATAGTGCGGCTATTACTCGAGTAAATACGGTATAACTAGCGTGCCCATCATGTGCAGAAATTGTTTTACTTCGAAAATCTCCGCGGTACGTGTGCATTATATATTGATTCTTGCTGTACGATCTTTGTCCTTCTAATCGCGAGTTGTTCTTTTTTTGTTTGCTGTGTTGCCGAGAGAAGAAAACAACTTACTATGTATGCTTTCTTGTTGGTATCTTTGTGTGTGAATTATGCGTCAAGAATGCTGGTCGTGGTAACATGCATATTTGGTATGCTCGGAAATCAAAACGTTTAAAGTGCGTTCATGCATATATGTACATTTATGGAACAATTTTCTCTTCTATGAGCTGTTACCTTTTTTCCCCACCCCCCCAATCTGACGGTGTACGTTCGGCCTTTGGCTGTAACCCCCACGTTAGTTTTTTCTCTTTCGCAAGCCTTCTCTCTCTCTCTCTCTCAGTGTGCTGGCTGTAAACTTTATGAGTTCATGCCCAGTCAGGCATAAATTTTGTCACTGCTTCTCTCTAGGCATTAACCGCGGAGCATGCGTGAACACATGCAATATTTGTTTTGTTTTGATAGTGACATTTGTTACTTCACAGGTGCCTCTCAAGTTTTACAACGGTTTCGGATTACTCCACTCCGCGCCTTTTTCCGTTGGAATAAGAAAACGAAGCACTACACCAACGTCAATCAACGTTCACACTACGAATTGAAGGCCCATGGTGTAATTAAAATACTATTTTTTAAGCATACGGGTATTACGTGGATCATCCAAGGATAAAAGTAAACCAAATGTATACGCATTTGTCAGTTTAATGCATATGTAGAAGTGAGTGTAATACAATTATTTTGGCCTTACTCGTCGAGCTGCCCCAGTGTCAGAATTTATTGAGCGTGAGACTTTTTTCGACGTTCCATTCAAATCACAGCTCTCTCCCGTTTTCAACTTTTGGCATGTCACTTAGAACTTAAAACGGCATATTTTAAACACTCCAGATAGTTTCATTACCAACCAAATTTTAGCATCACTCGACGTACGAAGTGCCAGTCTTGGAGAGAAATGCCATCCCAGCTGGCGACACGCAGTCGTTATTAAGTGTTCACTATCTCTAGAATACTACACCCAAAGGCTCTGCGGACTTTAATTTCCTCTGCCTTTTATATTTATTTCAGTAACACGTCACCTGTTCGCGACGGAAAATATGTTTTGTCATTACCCCGATAACATGGTTTTAAACTTTAGTAGCATCTGTAACGTCACTCTATCCTTTCATAAATCAAAATACGAATATTTCATAATTTTTGTTTGTATTCTCTCTCTTTCTCTACAAATTCTTTATTCTTAGTGTTAGAGTAATTACCACACTTAGGGCTTGTTTGCTAATCGATGCGGTAAATTTTACCGGCGATAATGTGTGATTTTTATGTCACATGACCTTTGGGGAGGCGAGCAAAAAGTTGGTGTTCGGATAAAGATTCGAGAAATACAAGGACGAGACAAGCTGAACAATAAAAGGCGGACGTGCACGTAAAGTGTATGGAAACAACACGTATGATCAGGGCTATTTAGAAGTTCCTAGTCATTTTTGTATAAACTGTTTGATATGTTGGTACACTTATTTTGATGAGGTTGCGGGTCCTTCCCTTACAGAGTTTGTTCCTTTTATTATAATCTCAAATGCATCATGTAATTCGCTAGAAATTTGTGTTGGTCCGCATATTAACCAAAATACTAGATGTCGTGAAACGCTGGGGCCCATGGACATCTGCTTGAAGGAATAACAGGATGGACAATAGGGCTCGTTCGCATGACCGTACAATGCTCATAAGCGGAGATGTTTACAAACTTGTACACTAAAAACAAAAAAAGAAATTGGGTCGTCAAGTAAGTTTCTGGGGTTCTTCGGCTCGTCCATATTTTGCACCTTCAAAAGGTCGTTTAAGCACCCCCTAAAAGGGTCGTTCGTAAAAAATGAAAGACCCTCTCTAGAGTGCCTTCATACACACGCGCGCTTTTGATTGAGTGGCGACATGTCAGCCATTTTTTTCGCCCGATTGTTTGTTTATGCATTTCGATGTGCGCGCAATCCGGTGTCACTCAGCTCGAGGGCGTAGCTTCGGCTAATGCATAGACGCCATTTTACCGCCCAGGTCACGCACCGAGTGCGCGAGAGCGTCACGCGCTGGCACATTCAGGGCAACAATGGATGTTTTCACCCTGAGACAGACGGGCATGTAGGCACCCTAACCCTTTGAGCAATTGCGCGCCATCGACCGGCCTGATCTCAAAACTTCTTGCAAGGGGCGTGGCAAGTGTGGCCGCGAGCTTGGCCGGAATCAACATGTACCGTTGAGTAGTCGCATAGCTGCAGTCGCAGCGTCCCGGCTAATCCAACGCTGCGTTTGCGATGCCTGCCCATTGGTACGTACCACTGTGCAAGCAAAAATGACTGAAAGACGTATCTGGAAACAAGGTAAGACCGTTTGAGTCTAGAAACCTTAACATTCTCGCTTTGGAAATAATCCCGCCCCACTGCTCGCGTTGAAGCGGCACAAGCGAGTAGTTTTCCACATTGAAAATCGCTCTGAAGTAGTCAGGCGTGAAGTAGATAGTGGCAGGACGGTCCTTCAGTTGTCCCGCCTCCAGTGCGAGCTTTCTACCTTCGTCATAATGAGAAACAGCGCAAAAGGGACAGGACACAAAGTAGAAAAAGGACACAGGACATACGCTAACAACCAAAGGTACTATAACTTCCACGCGCGCACAGTGGCCCGCGCAAGCACAAGCTCTTCTTTCTCTTTCATAAGAGATAAATGCTAGTAAAGAAAGAAACATCGGCACTAGAAGGACGTAGCAAAATCGCATGACCAAAATAAATATTAAAACAAAAATTGAAATTCTGACAGCGGCACGAGAAAACAACAAGATCATGCGCTGCGTACACTCCGCGTTCGCACCACAAGCTCTTCTTTCTCTTTCATAAGAGATAAATGCTAGTAAAGAAAGAAACATCGACACTAGAAGGACGTAGCAAAATCACATGACCAAAATAAATATTAAAACAAAAATTGAAATTCTGACAGCGGCACGAGAAAACAATAAGATCATGCGCTGCGTACACTCCGCGTTCGCACCACGTGCACACCGCGTTCAGGAAACCCCACCCCCACTTCACGACGGGGGGTGGGGTTTCACTGCTCATAAATGATTCAATGTCATGTGAATTGCTGAAAGAGTTTTCTGCTTCAACCGACGATTATGAAGTGTTGTGTGCCGAGACAAGGGATATAATTTTTGCGGTGTGCTATCGGCCACCAGATGGTGCTTCGAATGTTTTTCTTATATTCCTAGAAAATATGTTGACCTGTGCAAGTTACCGCAGACAAAATTTCATAATAGGTGGTGATTTTAATATCGATATGAATTCTGATAGCGCGAGGAAAAAAAATTTTGAGAGAGTGTTCCTTTCGAATGGGTGTACGAATGCTATTGAGTCATTTACAAGGATTACTGAAACGACGCAAACAACTCTTGATCTTTTCTTAACAAGCTATGATCCATCCTGTATGATTAGTGGAGTTTTGAGTTGTCCAATTAGTGACCATATGCCTGTTTGTTTGTCAGTTCGAACAACCCCCCTTGAAAAGGAAAAAGCTAATACTAACGTAACATTCCAGCTTATTAACGAAAAGACCTTAAGCGAGTTTCAGAAAGAGCTTAAGGATATGTGCTGGGACGAAGTTTTTCAACAAGGAGATGCCAATATAGCTTATAATATTTTCCTCAGCATATTTGTTGCAGCATATAAGAAGCACTTTATCAATAAGGAGCGCAAATTCAATAAGAAATTTCGGAAACCTTGGTTAACAAAAGAGCTCTTAAGGAAAATTAAGAAGCGGGAGAGGCTTTATCTAACATTTATTAAGCAAAGGATCCCTTCAGACTTGGAAACGTTTAAGGTCTATCGTAATAAACTAACTAAAGAGTTAAGGAATGCCAAGGAAGCTTACTACATGAACCTCTTTTCTAGCTGTGCAGGGGACACAGATAAGCTATGGAGCAAGCTAAGTGTAGTCATGAAACGAAAACAGAATGTTGAAACAATAGAAAGAATTTCTCTCAATGGACGCGTACTGACAGGAGTTGAACTAGTGAATGCGTTTAACCACTATTTTGTCCAAAGAGAACCTGAACTGTGTTCAAATGAGTCTTGTAGTTACTCCCTGTCCGGAAACGAAAGCAGTATTTTTTTACATGCAACCGACAGTGTAGAGGTATGTTCAACCTTTCTTGGACTCAAGAACTCTTGCAGCCGTGATGCTGACGGTATTCAAATAAGACCTGTCAAGTACGTAATTAATGAAATCGTCCATGTCTTGGTTTATATATACAACTTATGCATTTCCACAGGAACCTTTCCAGACAAAATGAAAGTTGCCAAAGTTACAGCACTATATAAAAAAGGTGATAGGTTAGACATAAAGAACTATCGCCCAATTTCTATCCTTCCAATTTTCTCGAAATGCTTAGAAAAAGTTATTTTAAATCAAATATCGTCATTTTGTGCAAAATATCAGCTAATAACTAAAGCTCAGTATGGATTCCAAAAAAATAAGTCTGTGGAGCTGGCTCTTCTTGAGCAAAAAGAATATATTTTACAAAACTTCGAGCAGAAGCTTCTGACTTTGGGCATTTTTGTTGATTTTACCCAGGCCTTTGATCATATCGATCACAATATTCTAGTTAAAAAGCTTGAGCGGTATGGCATAAGGGATCTGCCACTTGAGTTCATAAATCCTATCTCGGCAGAAGGCGACAATTCGTTTTTCTGAATGGCTTAACATCTAAAGGCAAAGAAATAATCTCTGGTGTGCCTCAAGGTAGCATTCTTGGCCCGTTGCTTTTTAACTTATACGTCGATGATATCGTACATATATGTCAACAGGCGAAGTTTATAATCTATGCGGACGATACTAGCATATTTCTATCGTCCAGCTCCTACGCCGAGATAACCAGTATGGCAAATGATGTTCCACGTAAATTAAGCTCTTGGTCAAAACAGAACCGTATAAAAGTTAATTCTAATAAAACTAAAGCCGTTTTCTTCTATACAAGAGGAACGCCTATCCAATTGCATCATAACATAGCGTTTAATCACACAAACATCGAAGTTTTGGACACTATAAAAGTGCTTGGCACGTACTTCTCCAATAACATGCAATGGGACGAGCATGTTAACTTTGTACTACTCAAACTTAGTCAAATAGCTGGTATACTGAATCGAAATAGGTATATTCTTCCGGAATCAGTTAAATTATTAATCTACAATACGCTATTTGTATCTCATATTAACTATTGCCATCTTGTATGGGGCACAACAACAGAATCTAACCTCCATAAATTACACTTAATGCAAAAGAGAATGATACGCGTTATTGCCAATGTCTCATACACCGAACATACTGACTACCTTTTCAAGATATATAACATTCCAAAAGTTCATGACATATACCGAAGGAGGCTTATGCGAGATTTTTATTATAGCATTAGGAAAAATACCTCTACACTCTTAGAAATAGGAAACTTAAAAAAAAGGCAACCTTCGCATAAAACACGAACTCCAGAACCATGGATAGTTCGTCGTTCTCGGACAAATTATGGTGACCAAATGCTTAAGAATACTTTGCCTAGACTACTAAATTCATTTGAGGAGGCTGGCACCGATATATCCTTTATAACCCCTTCTGAACTGAGATATCTTTTATGT